CTACTTATATACAGTACCCCCACAGCCCCTACACTACCCTCCCATTCTCCCACTTAACTAATGCTCCGTATATTTTATTATATTTGATTAAAGCATTAATTTTTCACATAAAATGTTATTAATAAAAGTGAAAGACTTGTAATGTATTATAAAATACTGTATAAGGAATGAGTAGAAAAAATAAGACGAGGGAAAAGTGTGTGCATTCAGAAAATGCATTTTTATTAAATGTGAGCTTAATTTTTAAAAGCTTAGGAATTATTAGAAGAGAATTAAAGATATATTTTATAAAAAGTATTCATTTAAAAATATAAACGAGATATAAATCAAATTCAATTAATGATACTATTCTTAAGTTTGCTTTTATTGTTTGAAAACTTTTTTAAAAATATTCTAAAGAGAAGATTCTGGAGAATTTATAAAAGTTATCAGGATTTTAATTCAAATCAATTAATACAATTATCTGGATAGTTTTCAATACAATTCAATAAATATCTCTATAATTATATAATATAAAGAATTTTCTACTCAATTAATAGAAACTATTTCGATATAGAATGGGATATATTTAATACAAAATTGGATGAATTAAGTGAATACCTCTGTGAGTGATATTCTTGAGGGCGTGAGTGATATGTTTGAGTTGAGTGTTGGCCTGATTGGAGTTCTTGGAGAAGGAGATGAGCACCGATATGGCGGCCAAACCATTGGCCTCGTGCTTGGCTTCGGTCCAATTTGAGTATAATTGTGAGTTATAGGCGTACAGTTGCAGCTCTCCCGGGAACTGAACGCCGCTAATGGTGTGCTCCGACCCCCGGTTATTCTCGCGACCGAAATGCAACGTCAGGTTAGATATTGTATATTGATATGATAGGGGGCCGGAGCTCAGCACCACTGATTGCTCCACATTTATCTTAAACACAATACTACGGCCGGTGTTAATGAGTTTGCCGCTGACCTGTTGTGAGGAGAGCGCAGGTAAATGTTATATAGTGTACAGTATTGTGATGAATGTGGTAGTGATGATGATGGAGGACACGGATGGGAATTGTATTAATAGTAAACGTTTATAAGAATGAGAGGCGAAGGGAAAGATGTATTGGTGTGGAGAGGAAATGACACGAGAAGATGGAGTCAAATAATGATTAATTAACTTATATTGACATCTATTATATAAAATAGCATTAAAAGCATCACTATTTTCCGGAATTATACTATTTATTGTATTCTCTCTGTTCTCTCTCTCTCTCTCTCTCTCTCTCTCTCTCTCTCAGGTAGAGAGACATACCATAGCATATAGTTTGCGGACCGGCATTCAAGCACCTGATCCCCCACTACAACAACTCCCTAATCACAACTGTTATGCTCACTCTCTCTCTCTCTCTCTCTCTCTCTCTCTCCCAAACACTTTCCATCATAAATAACATATCATTAATAATTCATTTCATGGATTGTGTAAATACATGCGACTGGAAGTGCGAGAGTGGATGTGTTGTTGAGCACCGATAGGACTAATAGTTAAACACATATAAAGCGATGGCTTGTATGCGGAATAGGAAGGGAAGAGTGGGTCTCAATAAACATGGGATGAAAAAGACATACGTGATCGCCATTAATGTTGACTGGGAGAAGACCAGGGTCATATAACAATAATTCAGGATTAATATCAATAGGCGATTGTCGGCGGCCTTTATTACAGTGACTCCATTTGGGATTGAGTCGACCCCAGAAATCTGGACCTAATTGTGCGGAAAATCAAAAATGACATTAAAATTACTGCAAAAAACATTGTAAATATCGGGAAAACTTGAAGAAGTGATCAGTCTTTCTATAAGGGGTGGCAAAAGGGGGAGAAGACGTACGAAAGACTTGAATACAAAACCGTATAAAAATAAAAGTTTGAGCAACTATTTTGATGCACAATAAAGTAAGCAACAGTCGTATGCCATAAAACTACCTGAAATTACATGTCTTATAATGAATTAAACATTATAAGCGTGTAAAACATCAATATAATATATAATGTAATGTAACAGGGTAAATAATGCTTTCACAATTTAATGAATTTCTAACAATCATTAAATAATGGTTTCTATACCATAATGGTGATTCTTATGATTGTCACAAAAACCTGTAGAGACGGTGGGCATCACTGGCAGAAATATTTTAAGAAAAATTGTTATTTTTCTGTTAAATTAGTCGCGAACTCAATCAAAATACAGAGTCGATTGTCTGGAAAATCAAAAACAATTTGTTTTTTATACACAAATACACAAACAAATAGACGAAAACAAAAACCGATTTCATTGTTAACTTTTATTATTTTCTTTTATATCGTATATTCTCTCAATTCCAGTATATTATTTGTATCAATCAATCGGTCTATTGGTTTGTGAGTTAATTAAATGCTATTTTTCTATTGTTTTTTTCACTCGTCTATCGTTTCGTTTGTAGACTTAATGCAACTTTACGTTTGAATTCAATGGCTATTCTTATAGGAATTGGTTTACACTACGAGAGGAGAGAGAGAGAGAGAGAGAGAGAGAGAGAGAGAGAGAAAGTGAGCATAACAGTTGTGATTAGGGAGTTGTTGTAGTGGGGGATCAGGTGCTTGAATGCCGGTCCGCAAACTATATGCTATGGTATGTCTCTCTACCAGAGAGAGAGAGAGAGAGAGAGAGAGAGAAAGTGAGCATAACAGTTGTGATTAGGGAGTTGTTGTAGTGGGGGATCAGGTGCTTGAATGCCGGTCCGCAAACTATATGCTATGGTATGTCTCTCTACCGATACGTGTGTTGTTGTGTTTGTGTTGTTTTTTATTGTCGGTGGTATTTCTCGCTGTCAATGTCAGTGAACACACACTCACACCATAAGAATACTGGTCTACCATTGCTTACCATTGCCTACCAGTGCTCTCTCACTCTCAGCGCACAAACTCTTTCCATACAATCAAACAATAGTCGGCGATATTTTATAACTCCAATCGTTTATCATTAAATTCTTGTTGTTATTTAGTTATTGTTTCCTCTCTCTCTCTCTCTCTTTCTTTCTTTCTTTCTTTCTTTCTTTCTTTCTAACGTAACTGTTTTGGGCGACAAATTGCCAGAAAATATATAAAATATAACGAAACAGAAAATAGTTTTATATAACAAATAGTTTTATATCCCTATAGTGTGTAATAATATCAATATATATCTCCTTTTCGAGCCATAAGTTATATTTTTGTACACATTTTTTCATACTTTTTCTGCCAAAATAAGAGAGCATTTATTCTTTACTTTTTCAATAGTTTATTATTCTCAGTCTCAGTCTCTCTCTCTCTCTCTCTCTCTCTCTCTCTCATGTTGTTATTTAGTTATTGTTTCCTCTCTCTCTCTCCATCTCTCATATTATTCTCATTCAGTAATTCTTAGTTATGGCGCCGACAGCTGTTATGGAAGAATAAAATACTACTCAAAATATAGTACAGTATATAAATGAATGGGTTTTTACTCCAATCGCTGGAAATGGGCTTTTGTTAAGATATATAGCCATTGAATGAGCATTGAATGAGCAAGGTCGTCAAATACAATTGTCAACCACTCTCTCCCACATACTCTCTATTCCTAAGCCTACTTTTTAGACCCAATAATAGATAATAAAATAATGGACAGTCATGTGGGGCTCGCATAATAGGATTGATACTGAAGTGAAAGTAAATTATTTTAGTCTATTTCAGTATAATTGAATTCTTAGTGAACGCACATGTGCATTTTAAAAACTACAACTTACTGGCTTAGCCGAAACAAATTTAATATTTAAATCAAATTAATATTTTGACATTTTATTAGATATGCCGTAAAAATATAATAACATTACATTGAATACAGAAGTGAATGACTATAATTACATTTAAGATACTTAATGAAAACAGAAAAATAACAATTTTTCTCAAAATATTTCTGCCAGTGATGCCCACCGTCTCTCTCATATTATTCTCATTCAGTAATTCTTAGTTATGGCGCCGACAGCTGTTATGGAAGAATAAAATACTACTCAAAATATAGTATAGTATATAAATGAATGGGTTTTTACTCCAATCGCTGGAAATGGGCTTTTGTTAAGATATATTGCCATTGAATGAGCAAGGTCGTCAAATACAATTGTCAGCCACTCTCTCCCACACACTCTCTATTCCTAAGCCTACTTTTTTAGACCCAATAATGGATAATAAAATAATGGACAGTCATGTGGGGCTCCCATAATAGGATTGATACTGAAGTGAAAGTAAATTATTTTAGTCTATTGCAGTATAATTGAATTCTTAGTGAACGCACATGTGCATTTTAAAAACTACAACTTACTGGCTTAGCCAAAACAAATTTAATATTTAAATCAAATTAATATTTTGACATTTTATTAGATATGCCGTAAAAATATAATAACATTACATTGAATACAGAAGTGAATGACTATAATTACATTTAAGATACTTAATGAAAACACATAGAGGCGGCTGTAAACGGAATATTCTGGATATTTTTGTGTGAATATATATGTAAATGCTTTTCAACTGTAATCTTCTGAAAGATTTTTAAAATATAATATTTATATATAAATGTCAGCTATTCTTCAACAGTGATCTATCATTTTCAATCAAATATAAAAATGTAATGCACTTTTAGCCTCTCTCTCTCTCTCTCTCTCTCTCTTTGACATATACTTTTCATTGTATTAACAATAGTGACAAACCTCTAAAAGGCGTTTTTAATATATCTCTCTCTCTCTCTCTCTCTCTCTCTCTCTCTCTCATAATACTAACGGAAAATGCTATTTGTCTACAATATATCTGAAACTTATTGCATAGAAAATAACTAAAACTTTTTATATTTTTTGTCGACAATATAAGTGAATCAAAAGACTATTTGCACCAAAAGAGACCCAAAAATGTGCACAAAATATGTTGTATGTATAGATGCAATAAAATTTAGTTTTACCTCTCCCCTCAACCCCTAAACTGTTAACCAATATAAACTATAAAATAAATATCTATTACACTAAAGCTAGCCAACCTTTTTTAGTATATCACAAATACAGATTCATAGTATGCCATAAAAAGGTGGCGCATCGGTCAGTAAAAAAGTTTAGGTTTGTCAGTATTAAACGAGAAACACCACGTGAAGGTCAACCTAATGGTTTCTCACCCATTTTTATAAGTGGTTAGCTTTCAGTCTATCCACAAAACGTCATTTTAAAACAAAATTTAATTATTAAATATACATTTTAATGAAATATTTGATATTGTTTGCGATTATCAACAATTTTATTAATATTTGACTCAATATCATTTGATGACCATATTTTCAAACGTGATCTTAATGTCTTCTCGCAAATACGATTAGTTTTGTCATTTTTAATCGATTTTATTAATGAAAAATATTGCTCACAATCAAAAGTCGATCCAAAATATGTTAAAATTGTTAATGCATTGTTTATTAATAATGGGAATTCGTTAATATTAGGTTGAGAGCTACAAACTTTATGTGAACTTTATCATTTTAAAACAAAATTTAATTATTAAATATACATTTTAATGAGATATTTGATATTGTTTGCAATTATCAACAATTTTATTAATATTTGACTCAATATTTTATGACCATATTTTCAAACGTGATCTTAATGTCTTCTCGCAAATACGATTAGTTTTGTCATTTTTAATCGATTTCATTAATGAAAAATATTGCTCACAATCAAAAGTCGATCCAAAATATGTTAAAATTGTTAATGCATTGTTTATTAATAATGGGAATTCGTTAATATTAGGTTGAGAGCTACAAACTTTATGTGAATTTTACAAAATTACAAACAAATGTTACAAAATATGTTAACACGTTGTGCCCCTTATATTAAATATAATTATATTTAATTATAATGTAAAATGTCTGTCAATTATCAATTTAATCAATTAATTATGGATATATTTATGTTAGATATTTTAGTTGAACATGTGGCTAACACTAAGGTATGCGGCATACCTACGTTGGCTAGCAATATATTACACGTCAAACAAAAATATTGAGAGTCAAGAGTTTCATAAGAATAAACGGTAAAATTTATTATATGTTTAAAAATATTTATTGAAATTATTCAGAAAATTTTCCATAAAATATTGAAAATATTTTGTAACGATAAGAAAAAAAGATAAACATTAAACTACTTATATACAGTACCCCCACAGCCCCTACACTACCCTCCCATTCTCCCACTTAACTAATGCTCCGTATATTTTATTATATTTGATTAAAGCATTAATTTTTCACATAAAATGTTATTAATAAAAAGTGAAAGACTTGTAATGTATTATAAAATACTGTATAAGGAATGAGTAGAAAAAAATAAGACGAGGGAAAAGTGTGTGCATTCAGAAAATGCATTTTTATTAAATGTGAGCTTAATTTTTAAAAGCTTAGGAATTATTAGAAGAGAATTAAAGATATATTTTATAAAAGTATTCATTTAAAAATATAAACGAGATATAAATCAAATTCAATTAATCTTAAGTTTGCTTTTTTTTGTTTGAAAGCTTTTTTAAAAATATTCTTAAGAGAAGATTCTGGAGAATTTATAAAAGTTATCAGGAATTTAATTCAAATCAATTAATACAATTATCTGAATAATTTTCAATACAGTTCAATAAGTATCTCTATAATTATATAATATAAAGAATTTTCTGCTCAATTAATAGAAAATATTTGGGCATTGAATGGGATATATTTAATACAAAATTGGATGAATTAAGTGAATACCTCTGTGAGTGATATTCTTGAGGGCGTGAGTGATATGTTTGAGTTGAGTGTTGGCCTGATTGGAGTTCTTGGAGAAGCTGATGAGCACCGATATGGCGGCCAAACCATTGGCCTCGTGCTTGGCTTCGGTCCAATTTGAGTATAATTGTGAGTTATAGGCGTACAGTTGCAGCTCTCCCGGGAACTGAACGCCGCTAATAGTGTGCTCCGACCCCCGGTTATTCTCGCGACCGAAATGCAACGTCAGGTTAGATATTGTATATTGATATGATAGGGGGCCGGAGCTCAGCACCACTGATTGCTCCACATTTATCTTAAACACAATAC